CAGCTCCAGCGCAGGCCGGAGCGCCGGGGAAGGGCCTAGGGTTCGCCTCCGCGGCGTTGCCGCGAGGACCGGCGCTTTGCTGTGCCGCCGGCTCTCGGTGTTCGCTGCGCTAAGCGGCGCAAGGATGGGGCTTTTCTGCTCCTGACTCCCGAGATGAGACTTGTGCCTGTAGCTGCAGGTGGGATAAGCTCGTGTTCGTGCTCTTTGGTTGCCTCAGTGCAAAATTAATCATCCTAACAATGCCATGAATCTATAATCCCTCGATCCGTGACCTCCATAGGAGCCACTTGCTCGTTTTTCCCCCACCTTCGTTTGCTGGCTGTGTGAACTCGGTGTGAGTTTAGAGCTGCAGTTCAGCAAACCCTGGTCAGGAAGTCCCCACAGCTCTTGATGCGGGGCTGGGGAAGGGCAGGGAGAACAGAAGAGAGCTCTGGGAAGGGCAACTTCTAACGTGCTGTCGTTCAGTGCTGGATGTAAGCCAGTTCTCCACTAGGCTGCATGTAAAATCCTGTTTGTCCTGGCATTGAACTGCTGCTTTTTCTTACTGCAGAAAAGCTATTCTTGATCTACCATAGTGAAAGTGAAAGCACTGAGTACCTTAGAAATGTTGAGTGGGAGATATTATCAGCCTGCATTTTTCACCTGTGGAAGGAGAAGATGAAGTTCTATCAAAGTACAACACACCCCTTCTTGGTCTGTAGTGTTATTCCAAAATATTCACCCACACCTCCTATTGCAGGAGAAAAAACAAACTGATTGTTGGGGCAGGGAGAGGGTAATAGTTCAGAAAATGCTGGGGTAACATGTCCATGGATTCAGGGTAGCTGTCTTGGTGGTTGCTGTTAACCTGTCCTAGGAAGCAGCAATCACACTAGGACTGGGACCCTTGCATGGATGATGGTGATTTCCATGTCTGAACCTGTGCCAACATGAAAGTAAGAGGGCTGGGGAAGAGAAGAAACAGCTGTCAGGCCAAGCACGGGCTTCTTGGAAGAGCAGCTGGGGTGGAACAGGTTGGAAAGGGCATCAAGGGTTGTTTCTGTGGGAACAGACTGACCATCCTGCTGCTTAATTCATGGCTAAGGCAAAGTCATTTGGGCTAACTTAGCTCTCTTTCATTGCAACTGCAACCCTGTTCTCAGTTCTGGGCAGTCCTTGCTTAAAGAAACCAAAGCCTCCAGGTGTTCCCTCTTTCTGCAGAATTCACTTCCTAAAAGACAGCCAGCGTACCCAAGCCCCAAAGTCAAGGCAATGATGTGCAGGCTGAACCAGAGACTAACCGTCCTCGGCAAAGGAAGAACCATCAGTTTGTGGAGACATAGAAGCACAGCTCAGTGGAGGGAATTCCACTGCTTTCACACCCAAAGCTGAGGTATGAAACATCTGTATGTGGGGGCATGAACACCTGTGTAGCCAGTGGTTCTCTGTGTCTGTTTCCTCACAAGGAATTTGGAATCAGTGAATCGAGGCAGGCTGCAGCCCTGTTGATCTTTAGGCTCTTATCAATTGCAGTCCACGTAGCAAACTGCTACAGAACTTCGGAAGGGGAATGCCTCTGCCTCCCACCTCAGATCGCTGTGCAGCAGTAAAAATGTTTCCACTTTGCAGGGGCAGCTAAGATTTGCATGATTGTTTGTAAGAGTATTTCGATACTTTGAAGGAGGAAAATAAAAGTAGAACAGGTGGTAGCAATGTTATTCACAGAAGAATTTGGTTCCTAGGCTGTGCTCTCCCTATCGGCCCTGAAATGGGCAGCATGGAGACTTGTGCTGGATCTGGAGTGGACATCAGCTGTCCATCACTTTCTAGAGCTTACTCTTCCTTGGCATGTAAATGAACACTGACTAGAGGAAATCACGGTGAGAGCTGGAGAGCCTTCTGCCCCCTTAGTGACTCCTTTCTCATCGAAAAATTATATGGAATGAAATTCCAAACAAATCATGCTAAAATACTGTAGAGAACTTTCTAAATCTTCATTCTAGCAATTTGTGTGAGCATTTCCATCATTTAGTAGTTGTATGTCTCTGTTACAAAAAAGTTTTTGATGCTTTGTAAGGGTTTCCAGTGCCCTTGGCATTTCAGAGTGGATATTTGTGCAACTGCTACTTCCTTCCCCTTCTGGGAAGTGAACTCCACAACCTGCCCACATTCCCCCAAGGCTTCACTTACTGATGAGGGCTATTACTATAACAGATGAAATCAGCACAACTCTGAAGTAATGGCATGAATCAAAAACAAGTATCTCCTGCCTTTGCCAGTGCAAACTCTGGGGTTTTCCGCCTCTTTCTAGTACAGTCAATGCTGCTTGCCTCAGCACAGGTGAGAGGCACTACATAAGAATCTTGAGACAAAGCTTGGCTTCTCAGCCATCTTAACTTTTGTATGCATTTAATGCTATTAATGGTAACATCCTTCTTAAATATTGAATGCAGTTCCTGGAGGCTTTTCTTTTCTGATTTCATTCCTGTTTATCCAGCTCTCTTTCCTGTGACTGCAAGCAAACACTCCCCAGCAAGCAAATCTTGCTACTGTGCCACATCCCCCTCAGATCCCAGCACAATGTTTCCTCTGCAGCCTGTGTACCCCAGCTGGCTGCCAAAATAGCCCTTGCAGCCAACCCCGCATAGTCTGGGGGAAAGTCTCTTACAAATTCAACCTGGAGCTGAAAGGTGAGGCAGGCTTCCTCTGGCTAGTGTCTCCTCTTCAATGAAGACATGAATGAGAATATTGGCCAGCATTTCTGGTTGAGTTGCATCAGCCAGATCACATACTACGCACAGGCTGCACCTTCTAGCTTAACTGAAACAAAACACAGCCCTACCTTATCTTAGTCACAGAAGCCAGCAAGAGCTCTCTCCATCCTCAAGTGCTTCACTGGTTTTGAGCTTGAATTTCTTTCCCTGAACTTAGAGTTATTCAGTAGCAGATTTAGAGGTTTCCTGTATTTCACAAAAGCATTTCCTAACAATTAATGCTTCCAACAAGCCATCTGTTGACATAAAAAATATATTTTCTTTTTCTTGTTCCCTTGGCTGTAGTGAGTTCATTTGGGATTACAATGGTAGCACAGTAGGACTTGGTTTGTCTTTTCCTTGCATGAAATTTTGTTGAAAGTGTGAATTGTAAAAGATGTTTGAATGAGGCAAAGTAAAATCTATTTTTTAAATGAAAGGGTGTTAAAATTTTCTTCTCTTCCCCAGCGTCAAAGATTTACAAAATCTTGGAAGTTCAGTGGCTTCTGTAGAAATGTTTAAATTAAAGCCTTTTCATCCTTCTACTGAGGTCGGTTTTCAGAGGAAACAAGACATTTGTGTTCACGCTGTCAGCGCCTGTCTTAGTCTCCTCTTAGTAGCAGTGGGATGCCTTGGCCAATGCCAACCTCCTTTGCAGCAAGAGATGGAGGTCCTGCAACAAGCCAATGCAGCATGTGGCTCTGAGGCTGCAGTCCCCTAAATGATGTATAGCCCAGGAGCAAAACTGGCTGGTCAGTCAGCCATGGCAGGAGATGGAGGGCACTGCGGTGAGGCATAGCGCAAGAAGGAAAAGAAAATGAGCGGGCTTTTGCAGAGGTTGAGGTAGGTGACATGCAAGAGTGCTGTAGGGGCATGTGTTCATTGGCTGTAATTTTCAGCATCTGAACTGAGTGAACCTGAATAGAAGTGAAGAAATGTAACTATGAGGAGAGCTGGACTGCAGGTGCCCGGATTTCCTAAAATTCACAGACATGACCAGCCTTGGGTGAGACAGAAAAACGGGTTTCCTTGGTCTTTCAGGAAACCTGTGCTGTGTGTGGCCAGGGCAGGGGTGAGGGTGTGGGCCAGTGCTCTGAGGGCACCAGACGCAGGGTGAGGGTGCAGACCCGCGCCCGTGAGGGTACGAGACCCGCTGTGGGGGCACAGCTCGCCGGTCGGTGCCCGTGCTCCCTGCGGGGGTGCCCGCCCTGTCCCGGTGCCGCG